CTTAAAAAAAGTATCTAATTGCCTGCGTTAGTGTTTTTGCATTTCTTTTTTTCTTCATTTTTTTAAAATAAATAAGCCTCATGCTGAAGGAAATGCTAATTGCATGCCTGCACAGTAGAGGGCGCAGCCCAAACAAACCTTTCAACTGTGCTGCCATTCTGAAACACAAATGTTATGTTTATCTAAATTATATGTTTATCTAAAGTCAATTTTGCTTTTTAGTGTGGTTGAATTGGGTCATCGAATGTCAGCAGCAAAGACATTTGGTTAATAAAGTAAGTTTAATTGCATAAAGTTATCATTCTGAGTTTGCACTTCACTGTTTTTATAAGTAGCGGCATGTGCCACTAACAATGTTGTGCATCATGTCGTCATAAGTGTTTTTTTTTTAAATAAATAAATTAAACTCATTTACAAATCGATAATATTTTTCAAAGATTTAGACAGTTTTTGGCACATCTGTATTTGAGTGGCATGTACTGTACATGCTACTGAATGTTGTGTAATACCAGGGCTGTGTGTCTTGTTGATCAGCAAACTGCCCATTCTAGGAAACATGAAAAAAATCTATCATGAGTCTCTATACCACATTATTAGTCGCATCCGTTATTGTAAACCATTATTTTTGCATGATGCTGCATGCAAAGTGTCAGTATAAGTAAGAGTAACTCTGGCCAAGGCAAGATAAACCAAATCTTAGGACATTCGAGGAAGATCTATTTGTTAGTGATTTAGACAGTAGCAAAAACAAGTAATCGGAGTCTGATATTGATCCTTAAATAACTACAGATATGCCTATATTTAATGTGGTTAGTTAGTATAATTGTATGGAATTATTAACAGGAAATACAACTTTTTTGTTGTTTTTTAATGGTGTGAACATGGAGATGCCTGAATGTTTTGTTGAAGTGTTTGACTTGCTGTAGACAGATTATAATAGACATATAATAGACATACATTACTCTGTATTGTGAAGAATCGGTGTCAAGGTCCTGCACACTTCTGAATGGCTGGCTGGTGTAGTTTTCATAATGCGTTTTGGAATGGTTTGTCGCTTCATAACGGTTTGTGGCATTTTCTTCAATTTTCTCTAAATGGTTATACCCTGATGCTCCGGCAGACAGTGACTTGGTCACAAGGTTGATGAAGGTGCCACAACATACGGCGACATGCTCCACAACAATCGCAATCCATCGGCTCGTCACAAGTTTTAGCGGCACATGCCAATTGCAACCGGATGTGCCAATGGATATTGTGACAGTTAATGGTAATATCGTTTTTGTTCGTTTTGAGGAATACTGAATCTGTTTTGTTTTTGTTGTGTGTGTGTGTAAATAAGATAAGTAAATGCATGCTCACATTTAGTCTAGAACTACAATCAATCATGTTTACACAGTGCACACAACCTCTCGTCACTTACTACAGCTTTCTCTCAACATGGGGACAGGAGAGCTGTCAGTCAATACATGGGAAAACAAAGCAACTTATGTTACTTATTTAAAAATAGTAACTGCATTGCATTATTTTAGTTACTTGAAAAAAGTAATTTAATTACATGTTACAATTTAATTACTGCCCAGAAGTGAGCTATAAACCTGACAAAGACATTCTTTTGGTGATGTCCTCAAATGTAAAAACTGCATAAAGTAAATACTGTTTTTTGTAAGAATACAGAAAGTTGTGTTATGGTGTGGATTAGGGTTAGGTTAGAGTCATTTTAAACAGCTGCATTTAAAAACAGTAGAAGTCTATGCAATGTCCCTGTTTAGATAGCCAAGTAAACGTGTGTGTTTGTGTGTTCTGGGTTAACACAAGGTGAATGTTTTAAAGAAAGGGTCTCGATTTAAGTAAGAGAGATCTATTATAAGAACTGCATCCATTAAGTAAAAAGCAGCATGTCAAATGAATAAGTATGTCTGAAAACCCAATATTAGTAACCGTAGGCTGACAATATCCAATTAACTTACTAATTAATTATTTTATTCAGCAACGATGCATTAAATTGCTCAAAAGTGACATTTATAATACAATTAAGCAGTTTTTGTTACTTTTTTATTCGTCAAAGATTCCTGAAAATAGTATCACAGTTTCCACAAATTAATGTTTTCAACATTGATAATAATGAGAAAGATTTCTTGAGAAGCAAATCAGCATATTAGAATGATTTATGTATAAAGAATTAAGTATTATAAATATATATATTAATCGCGATTAATCGCATCAAGAAAAAGTTTGAGTTTACATAATATATGTGGGTGCACTGTGTATAATTATTTTATATATAAATACACACACATGCACACACACACAAATATTTTCATAAATATACTGTATATATATATATATATATATATATATATATATATATATAATTTATATTATATATAAATATAAATATTTTATATTTAAATAATATTTTTTTCTTAAATATACATGCATGTGTGTGTGTGTGTGTGTGTGTGTGTGTGTGTATGTGTGTGTATATATATATATATATATATATATATATATTGAAGAGTTCAGATGCAAAAGCCTCTAAGTGCCATTTGAAATTTTCTTCTAAAATTATCATTTTTATCAAGCTTGTATATTTAAGTTCAGTAATTTCACTTAAATGGCAATGAAGATTACCTATTAATTGTCATTTAAGTGAAATTACTGAACTTAAATACACAAGCTTGATAAAAATGGTCATTCTAGAACAAAATTTCAAATGGCATTTAGAGGCTTTTGCATCTGAACTCTTCAATTATACACAGTGCACCCATATATATTATGTAAACACAAACTTTTATTTTGGATGCGATTAATCGCGATTAATCATTTGACAGCCCTAATATATATATATATATATATATATATATATATATATATTCAAATAGAAAAAGTTATTTTAAAATGTAAAAATATTGCTGTTTTAATGTATTTCTGATCAAATAAATGCAGCCTTGGTTGAGCATAAGAGTCTTCTTTCCTAAACATTAAAAAAAGTGACCTGAACATATCCCACTTATGTCAATCTGACACTGAAGGTCACAGAAAGATGTGTGCCCACATGATTTTAACAAACGAAACGGCAAGCATTTGCATTTGTTTTGTTTATTAACACAGATAAATCATATTAAAATACAGCACAGTGACTCACAACTACAAACATTCAATCATTAAACTCTTGTAAAATATTTACACCTCAAAAGCGTTTGTTAACTTAGAATTAAATAGCATTCATGTCAATGGCATTAAAGAAGGTCAATCATGTTACTTTTAAAGTGCTTTATGTTTAATAGTAGCATTTGACCTAAATGTGAACATGACGATAGCAAACATTCCAGCACTGACAAACTGATGGTAGGTGTATGTATGTGTGTGCACTCTTGTTTGCCCAGAGAGTGTTGTTTAAAGTTGTCATCCATGTTTTATTTGCATTTGTGATTTTATGCTTTGAGACAGGCACGTGCAATGTACATGATCAGTCGGTGTTGAAAGTTTGAAAGCTTTAAAGATGAAGATTTGACGTTTTAAAAGTTTAAATGGGAATATACTGTGGTCCCAAAAGGTATGCGGACACTTAAAGTGAAAATACTCTCTCAAGTCCTAGAGCAGAGACAGCTTTATTTCCCCGAAGAGTGTAAACAGTGTGGGTCTGTGACGCTGGTAGCATTTCTCTAGCAGCCACTACGTTGGCATTGACTCAACCAATGGTGAGATTTTGGTTCTGTTTGTTCAACTAATGGCTGATGGGAGGGTTGTTCCGGAAACCCGTACAAAAACGGTTACCATTTTTGCATTTGGTGGCGCCAGTGGCATTAAAAATTTGAGAATTTCATTGTATAAGTTTATAAAATACCATACCGAATGGTGGCTGCAAGCAAATTCTGAGTTTCCTCAGAACTAACTGCAATTTCTGAGGCATTTATATTTTTTTTAACCATCTTGTGTGGCTCTTTTAATTAGATTTTTTATTTTATTTTTTTTGCATTTAAACAGCTTGAATTAATTTATTCGCTGAGGAAATAACCCTCTGCTGTCCGTGTCCATTCAAATATGGGGCCTTTAGATGCAACACGTCAAGATTGTCACTGTGACATGAGATCGACCATTAGGTGATCAGGTTTGGGACATTAGGGTGACTAAAAAATCCAACCCGATCACACTAAATGCATCTTTATAGCATACATGTGTATTTCGTGTCATTTATACACTAAAGTGAGTTTTTACCACGTGCATGATACGCACTGGTTGGTTAGGGTAGGTTTAGGTGTGGTGTGGTGTGGGGTGCGTGTGTATTACAGGCAATTGAACTGCGTATCAAATGCACACAAAAAACTGCGTCTCATATGCACATAAAAACTCATTTTCGCATATAAATTACACGATTCGTGTTATAGAGACGCATTTACGTGAGAACAGGCTAAAAAATCAATTATGACATAACTATTTTTTTGTGCTTGTGCTATGTTTCTTTTAAATAAATGCCACTTGGTTGGTTAGATATTTTAAATAATGCAGTGAAACCCATGGATATTTCAGCATAGATTAAATGTTTTCTCTTAAGATGCACACGTTTAAGCTCTGTTCGGCTTTAGTTGGCTCAGTCTAGGGCGATTTGTCTCAGGTCAAAGGGACAGAGAAAGAGATGACTAAAAAGAGATCAGAGAAAGAGATCTTCTCAAACAGTGTGGGATTACTGTCAGGGCAATGAAGGTGCGAATCATTTCATTACATGTGGGAATTAACAGTGGTAAACATTAAGACTTTCTCTTAACAAAAGAACACAACATTATTCTCTTCCCTGAGGTCCACCGGCTTTGTGTGTTTTCTGTTGGCTGCTCCATCAGAAACGGCCTCTTCACAAAGTTGCACTACTTTAAGACATTGAGATTCACTAAACAATCTGTGCTGAAATGTTTCACTCAAACTGTTCGATCTAGTCTGAAAAGGACATTGGTTTTTTTTTTGGTTTTTTTCAAGAAAAGTCTTTTCTTGATACTTCAGGCATATTTGCAGAGCATGGACAGCTTTTGTCAAACTTTCCCTCATTTTACATTTATCGTTAGTTCTTCTGGTTTTTAGTAGTAGTGATGTAGTTTCTTATATCCCCTTATTACTCCTTATGAATGGCCACGCCAAGTTTCTGAACATTACATAGACGTTTGCATGTAAATATTGGCTGTTCATACTGTATGTTAATGTTTTCATCGATGACATGAGAGTTTCAGAAGTTTCGAACGAGTCATTTTTGCGGCTCAGTTTCAATACATGCTTTCTTTTTGGGAGTTCTGAAACCTCATAGTACATTGAACTGTTTTATTTCAAGAGCTCAAGAGTATTTGAAATCTCATGACAGGACAGGACCCCCGTAAACCAATTATTCCAGTTTGTTGGCCGCTGGTGTCTGTTGGCTTCTGTTGTCACATTTTTGGAAAGGTTTTTAGTGTGTGGTCAGTCATAGTCTTATCCATAACTATGAGGACTTCTGGGATTGATTGGCGACTCTTGCCGTCCGCTTTGGCTGTTCAGCTGGTAGAGACGGTGGCTGAGGTTCTGTACCTGGCAAGTGCCGAGAACGCATCCCACACGCATCAGCTGACCCTGCTGGCGACTGCGTGACCCTCTGACGACATGCCGACGCTCCCGGAAATGTCCCTGAGCGCCGCTGTTTTGATTGGCCGCTGTGTTGGTCTGTCTCGACGGAGGTCCTTTATGCAGGAGGGCCCTCCAGACCGAACGGCGCTCTCTTGGCCCGGCATTTGAAGCTATTGAAGGAATAGTGATGGTTTCCTTGGCGATACCACCTCCTGATTCTGGAAGCTTCCCAGGCTTACTTGGAAAATTCAATCTGGTGGGAGAAAGAGAAATAATTTGGTTGACCACCAGTGGAGCACATGCATGCACTGACCAATCTATTTAAATACATCATTCAGACATTCACATTTTGTAGTTTGAGCATCACTTTAGTGTTAAATTAGAAGCTTGGCAGCATCAAGACCATTTTAGGGTGGAGGATTTGAAGTCTGGTATTAATCGAGTGTTTCTCTGGCTGTAGTCCAAGTTATGTGTGGCATCTCATCTATGACACACACTCCTTCACATGCTACTCTTTCCTGTCTTCTGTCTGGCTCACAGCAGACATTCAGAGCATTCGTGGTGTTTTTTTTTTTTTTTTTTGGAATATCAGTCAAATCTGAGAAACGAGAAGGAGGGGTTAAAAATAAATAGACTGAGGATCATTCCACTTGATTTTATGCACTGTCATGATGGAATTTTGGGCCCTATATTTGCTATTCATTTAGTTCGTCAAGGTGAAGTTTATCCTTTCTATGTCAATAGCAGCCTATACATTTTTGGTAACACTTTGTTTTAAAGTGACTTAGTTACACGTTAATGCATGCACTTACTATAGTAATAACAGTAACCAAGTAACCAACCTTAAACTCTAAGTAAGTCTACAGTAAGTACCGTACATGTAGTTAGTTAATATTACTCAGTACTAATGTAAGTACAATGTATCTACTTTATTACAAACATCTGCTATTGTTCAGCCAGACAGGTCGGGTATGTCGGGTCGTTCAAAAGAACCAATGTTTTGTAAGGGTCTCAGAGGCACAATGTTTTCCAATGTTTGGAAAGTCAGGAAAGGATTACTTAGGATTTCTTTAGCTGTCACATAACTAATATAAGCCTTGAGATGGTTTCTTTGATAAGTTAAGAAATAAATAGAATTTGTATTATTTTTCCTAAAGTGTTCCTGTGAATTGCAAAACCCAAATAGCAGCCGAGTTATGCTGTTCACATGAGCTGGACAGAACAGGGCCAAATGATTTCATTTAGATGTACAAGTTCTCTGAAAAGTACAAAGTCACCTTTGACTTGTGCTTTGATTGTTCTTGCTTATAAATAAACTGGCACCAATACCCTTAATGCCATCCAGTTTTATATGTCTGCCAAACTTGCAGATGAAGGCGATTATTTGAGATTTTCTTTTTAGGAAATGTTTGATGCAGTTTTCCTGAATGATTACAGTGTTTACTTTTATATATATGTATGTACGTATGTATGTATATGTGTGTGTGTGTATATATATATATATATATATATATATATATATTTGTATCCTTTTAGAATGTTTTTTAATATGGTTTATATAGTATGTGTGTGTGTGTGTGTGTGTATATATATATATATATATATATATATATTAATGCTGCTAAACAAACCTTGGTAAGCATGGAACCTGTGTATGTGTTATTTTCAGTAGGTGTTATAGGCTGTGAGTCAGTTTATGTTATGGAGGATATAGGGCAATACTTTACTCTTAAATTCTAATCCTAATCAGAATGTTTCTGAACAGGATTAGTTTTGTCTGGCAGTAATATAACACACACACACATGTACAAAATCGCTTGTTTCAATCACTTAGCAGTTTCCCGTCATAAGGAGTATTTAATGTAAACCTTTGTTTAGCATTGGTTTGAGGTCCATAATACTATACCTGTTAGATTTCTGTACACTTAGAAATTACTTAAAGAAATTAATACATTTATAGTTTTATTCAACAAGGTTGTGTGTATCAAGGTTTATACCAAACAGGTAACACTAACATGACACCTTCATAATCATGATATGACGCATGTTATGAATATGAAGGAAGTTTATCCGTATTTATGACAAACATTAAGTGTCATTCGCTCAGTTATGACATTTTTAATGCAAATATGACATTGTTTGAGATAAACCAATAGATTATAACCTGTCAGTCTTTGTCATGACAACTTGACATTACTAAGACAACACAACCTGTCATAAACATGACATAGCAGATTAATTATCAAACTTAAGAAACCACTTAGCTTTATTGGTTAAAATTAGGCTACATTAAACTGTCATGTGGTTGGTTTTGACATCGGCTGTCATGAAGCCATTATGACATTTTAATGACGAATTCAATGTGTACCACTGTAGTTGAGGTCATGAAAAATATTCATGACACAGTCATAATGGCCTCATGACAGCCAATGTTAAAACCAACCACATGACATTTTAACTTAATTTAATGTCATGTTGTCATGAAACCACATGGCAGTCTAAAGACACTGACAGGTTATGATGTTATGGTTTATGTCAAGATGTTATAACAAAGACATCTTAAACAGTCATATTTGCATTCAAAATGTCATTATGGAGCGAATGACAGTTGTCATAAACATGCATAAACCCTATTTCATATTCATGACATAATGTATGTCATGTCATGGTTATGAAGGTGTCATGTCAGTCTTATGCCCACCCCTTCAAGTAAAGTGTTACCCAAAAATATTATGGAGCACAACTGTTTTCAACATTCAGAATATCAGAATATAACATTTTAAAAGGTAATTGCGACTTTTTATATCTCAATTCTGAGTTTATATCACGCAATTCTGAGAAATAAAGTCATAATTGTGAGATGTAAAGTCTCAATTGTGTGTTAGAAGGTCAGAATTGCAAGATATAAGCTCAAATTAGCATGTTAAGTCAGAATTGCGATTGTGAGTATATATCTCGCAATTCTGACTTTATAACACATGTAAACAGATGTAAACTCACAATTGCAAGAAAAAAGTCAGAATTGTGAGAAAATCGCAATTACTTTTTTTTTTTTTATTCTGTGTGGAAATAAGCTTCCATACAACATTGCTAATAATAATAATAATTATATAATAAAAATACATTTGCATATGATTTCTGAATGATCATGCGACACTGAAGACTGGAGTAAAGATGCTGAAAATTCAGCTTTGCATCACAGGAATAAAATACAATTTAAAACATATTTAAAAAGTTCTTTCAATTTGTAATAATATTTGAGAATAGCACCTTTTTACTGTAATTTTGATCAAATGCAGCCTTGAGGATTAAAGATTTCTGCCAAAAAAAAAAAAAAGGTAATTATTGAAACAAATATTTTTAACGGTAGTGTACTACTAATGAAATATTAGCAATTTATGTGTTCCTTGCTGTTTACATTTACATTTATTTATTTAGCTGACTCTTTTATCCAAAGCGACTTACAATTGCTATATATGTCAGAGGTCACACGCCTCTGGAGCAGCTAGGGGTTAAGTGTCTTGCTCAGGGACACATTGGTGTCTCACAGTGGATTCGAACCCGGGTCTCTCACACCAAAGGCATTTGTCTTATCCACTGCGCCATCACCCGCTGTTAGAATACAGAGCTGTATTCAGATGGTAGACCAGATGGTGTAGTTATAACATCTACCAGCAGGGGCTAATAGGAAGATGCTGACTATCTAAACTTGGGTTAAGTGTAATTGTATATGGGTAATAGTAGATTGTTTATTGCAAGATTTAAATTCTCTCCTACCGCACAAGGGCTACTGCGTAGCTGAATAGGTGGCGTTTTCATTCTATCTGTCTGTTGTTTTATCTCTCTGTCTGTCTGTTTTACCAGCTATCTATTGTTCTGTATGTCTGTTGTTCTACACTGGAAAAAAAAAAATCTGTTAAATAGAGTTTTCCTGTTAAAAATACGGTAGCAAAATTATAGGTTTTACAGACTTTTAAGCGCATTTAATTTTACAGCAAGAAACCCTATTTCATTATCGGATCTAATGTTAATTTACTGACCTTTTGAAGTATTAATATCTGTTTTGCAATACACTGAGAGTCAACAATCACAGCCATAATGAGAGTGAAATGACCAATCAAATTTCATCATAATCAGCTCTTTCACAAGAAAGTTCATACTAACAAACATTCAAACAAACATTAAACACCATCATGGTAACATGTTGAAATTTAAAAAATGCAATAAGTATTAATTCAACAACCTTATAAAACCCTAATGTACATAACTGATAAGAAAAAAAAACTAAGAAAATTATGAAGAAACAGTTAAAATATATTAAATGTGAAGTGTCACGCAGGGAATTGTGGGAATGTCAATTTACATTTTTTCACTGTAAATGATACAATGATTTGTTCGTTTTCACTTCCAAAAACTGTAAATGTAACAGTATTTTACAGTATATGTATTTAAATGTACCATTATATTTAAATGTACCATTATGTATCAGAGTTATTTACTGTATATAGTAAGTAAACTTTCTGTTAACCAATTAACAGTTTTTCACTGTAGCATTTTACAGTCTTTTACTATTAAAATCACGATCATTTTTACAGTCATTTTTTCATAATTCTGTCCGTCTGTCTTTATCTGTCTGTTGTTCTATCAGTATCCGTTTTTTTTATTGAATTGAGTTCTTTTCATAGATACCTTTCTATCTATCTGTCTGTCTATTATTCTATCTGTATTGCTATCTATCAGTTATTCTATCTTTGTCTGTCTATCATTCTATCTGTCTGTCTGTGAGTGTCCAGCTGTCTATCGTCTGTCTATCAATGAATGTATGGCTGTTTTCTATCTGTCTATCTGTCTATTGTTCTCAGTCTATCTGATTTTTTTTAAATTTAAATTTATTTTAGTTATTTCCCAAAACTCCTTTTTAAATTTGAAAATTCAATTTCAAACTTCAAAATGAATTGAAATTTATAAATTCTCAATTACATACTGAATGACACACTGCCGAGCACAACCTGGTGGCAACTTTTTCACGTTTCAAATTTTTATTCAGTCAGTAATTGGTTTACTTAGTATCATTGTGATGAAATCGGCTTCTTATCTTAATTTGTTTAACATCATTTCTTGCAGTTGCCCATGATTAGATAAGAAAATCTGCTGCATTATAAAAATCTTCTGAATTGAAATGGGTCCAGAGAGCAGCAGCCCAGCACCGTTATTCAATCACCCTGTCCCAGCATAAGCCCTTCTAAGCCTCTGCCCAAAGCTAAAGTCCTACTGTTTCACTGCTCCATTCATACACTTCAGTCTCAGGTGCTAAATTACACACACACACACACACACACACACACACACACACGGGTCTGTGAATATGGAAGACAGCTGGGTGAAGTGTCTCTTGGAATAAAGAGGAGAGACAGAGGAAGAAGAGGAGACGTATTGTGTGGTTTTATTCTGCTTTGTGGAAGACTAGGAGGAAGAAGTCTGAAAGCTTAGGTTGAGGGAGAGAAAGAGATTCAGAATCGTTCCCACGTTAGTGCCCCGCATGGGGCCTGTGAGAGATGTTATCTTGCACAAATATCCATCTTATTCTAACAAACTGTTAAGAATGATGTTGCAATCCACTCGTTGAGAGGCACATTTTTAAAAACGGAGCCAGAGGGGCTAATTTGGGGGGAAACTGCTTAAACCCACCTTACGTAAATTCATTATTGTGTGAGTGTGTGACTAAAAGAGGATTTAATTTCCAGTTGAACATTACAGTCTTAAATCACTGTTTGTTTGTGACCTCACACGGTCTGTATGACCTTTTCTCACATTAGGCACACACTGCGTGTTCACATTTAATCTGTAAGCTTGTTTCACTTTTGAAGGCCACAGTGGTGTAAACTGCCTCTTCCCACCAGGAGGGGGCGCCGCTGAGACTAAGTTCACGAGTGGCTAAATTACAAAACCCAAACCAATAGGTGAAGTGGCCCCCAAAATGTACCAAGTAACACCTGTTAACAAATATGGTAGGGCTTTTTTTGGAATCTAAACATTTTAGCTAATACTTTTTAGTAACTGTGTTGTAGTAGTGTTTTTTAGTGGATGTATGAAGTCAGTTTCTCTAACAAAAAACCCCAAAACAGTCAGTGTCCAAATACCCAGTGTGCCATATTTCTATGTTTTTTGGAAAGTGTGCTCTTTAAAATTAATGCCACTTGATATTTTGATATTTACACAATTTAGAAGTAATGCAATTTAATGCAACACTTAAGGAGGTATGTGGATTGTGTTAAAGGATCTTTCATGTTGCAAATCAGAGTTGAGAATAACCCCATCCCTATCATGACTAAGCGGTCACGAAATCTGAGAAACTACGTTACAGGTGGCACGTCTCTCTTAAGCTCTCTGTGCCAAATGTAGACAGTCAAGTGACGCATACTATCTCATCTACAGGTCACAGCCATCCACACACACAACCTCACATGTGGCAAGCCATTTTAACATCCATTCTTTAAAACTAACAATTTCTTTAGTACCAGTTTTTTAGATACTAAATGTGCTATTCAATTACTCACTTTTTCTTATTCATATATACTCTTAACTACCTAATGTACTAGAGTATAACACTGTAAAGAAATAGTTTAACTTAAAGTAAGTTACTTTTTTGTCAATAAACTCAACATTTTTATAGAATAAATGATATTGGTTTAATAAATAACTCAAAATATTATTTTATCTAAACCACATTATCCAAGTTGGTTTGTCCAAAGAAAAATGTTGCGATAACAAATCATGTAAATATTTTTTACAGTGTGTATTCAGCTTTTTTTGTATGAGACATCAGTCTCTATAATAATTGTACAAAACATTTTAGGGCTACTAGTTACAAGTTGCTTTCTATAATTTTTTTAGTAGTATAGTGAAATTGCAGGAAAAAAATAAAGCAAGCAATTAAAAATTAAGTATTGCTAATAAATATGCTAGATTATGAATGTTAAAATGGCTTGCCATGACATTACATAGATTGCTAAAGTTAACGTTTGATTAACTTTAGCAGTCTATGACTATGTAATGTCTACATTTTCTATTTATAGGCAATTAGATAATAGTAAGAATGAAGTTTATATTACAGGTAAGATTATTTTGATAACACTAGTTAATGTAAACTAATGAACAATAGCCTACATCATTTATTTATCTATAATATTTTAAAATCAAAAGTTGTATATGTTAACCTAGTTAATCCAATATGAACTTACATGAATAATTGTGTTTTAATATAGATTAAATTATTTAAAAATATTACTCATCGTACGTTCATTTTCGGTAGCCTAAATTTGCGCGCGCGAGCGTAATATTAAACGCATGATAGCCTATTAAACACCCAAGAAATGGACTATAATATATTATAGGCTATATTAATATATAATGGGTGTGTAGATATAATATTAACAGCATGATATATTGATTCTGATGATGGTATCATCACAGGTGCCCGGGCGGCGCCGGAGTCCCGCGCGTCTCTCACCTGTTGCGCATCGGCAGCGCGAGTGTTTGCAGAGGCAGCAGAAACACACACACGAGCAGCAGTGTTTTCATCATAGGAGTGTGTTGTCCTCTACAGTCCGACTCGATGATGTTCCTCAGCTCTTATAGAGACGCGCTGGTGCCTGTGGAGAACAGACGAGGCAGTCATTAAGGCTACTTGCAAAGTTCGTCAGATCAGTAATGATCTACATTTCATGGAAACGTTTAAACAGAGAAGAAGCTTATTAACGCCCTACTTTAATAGACACATTAATATGGGGAGGTATCCCGTTCATCACGCGGTGTGTGAGTGAAGGACTTTGATTTATGTGGCTGGAGAAACTCTCAGTGGCTCATGGATGGAGCAGATTCTTAAATACTGAGAGGGAGGAGACACGGGATAACTGAAACTCCACATGCTCTTCAGCCTTAGTTACCATTATTATTATGATTGAATATCCTCCACCAGTTCATTTCGCATCACTGCAATAAACAGTGTGTTTTCTTTAACTATTTCTGAGACCACATGCCGCTTTTTAAAGAGCACATCCTTCAGTGTTTTCCGTCATAACCGGGGGTGTGGCCAATATGCATATATTACTAGGCTATGTATTTTTTTTTTCTCATTTTAAACACATATAAGACTATAATAGCTTTAAAAATGTATATTAGTTATTTTAACAGTGTTCCTTTTCTTGATATTAATTTAATTATTGAAGAATAAAATGCTGGATAAAATGTATCAAAATAATTTATAAATTTGTGACTTATATAAATAAATTAAGGGTGTATGGTAGTATAATTACCATTTTATAGAATAAAATATATATTATTTTGTATAATTTGCCATATTTATAATGTACAGAAAAGTGCAATATTTGACAGGCCTACTACTTGAAATATATATATTTAATATTTATTTATTTACTAGCTGGCTTTTGGGAGAATATATTTTTATTTATTTATGGGATTTGACTTTTAAAATCTGTTTTAAATTGTCTATATGGTCTTTTTTTCTTTTGCAAGTAAATTATATTATAGGAACATATGGATCTTTATAGAAACACTACAGGGAAATATTGTTTCTAAATGTTGAAGTGTGCAGCTTCAAGCCTTTATACTGTGTCATGATATAAAAATATAATTGTGCTGTCAAGTGTGACACAGTGGCTCATTTTAAAGGTCAGAGACAGAAAGGAGTGCGTGTTTGGTTTAATCGAGCTCACTGTGTCCTCTGCCCTTTTAAAGAGGATTTTAGAGAGCATTAACAACAGTTTGGTTAATGTTAATGAGAGTCAGTCTGAGACTCTGTGTGTGTGGGGTGTGAGTGAGAGAGAGAGATTTACTGATGCTATAGTGTGTTTTGGGGTCTTTATTGTCGGTCATTGTTTAAGGTCATTTTATAGTTAAACCTTGACTTGAATTTAGAAGTAGGCTAATACCATTGTCTAAATTGTATAGCATTTTTTTTTTTTGCATTATTTTTTTTTATAATGCAGTGTTCTAAAGGTCACGTTTGTTTTTGTGCCAGTGTCTGTGTGTTTAAGAGCTTCGGATGTTTATTACATCTCAGTCTCATAAATGATGTCATAAACTTTGGGTGTCTCATTATTTGGAAAAGTTAGGCTACTTTATCAGCTTAATGTAAATAGATGAATTTAAAATGGTCTTTTTTTATTGTTTTTGCATTAATAATTGTTACTTTTGTGGCTTTTATTTTCAGTACAAACAAAATACACTTTTACCATTAGCCCTCAGACTGTGTGTGTGTGTGTGTGTGTTTTGTGTCATGGGACAGGCAGCAACAGGATACGTTTGCACTCACTTCGCTCAGACAGAGCATATTGCTTGTGTGTGTAAGTGTATATTTGTGTGTGTCTCTCTTCTATTCATTATTCATTGTACTATCATCCACTGTTATAAGAAACTCATCACAGTATCATTATAATCCTATTAAAAGCATATTGCAGAATTCAAGTGGTATATTGTGCCAAATTATATGAGAGCTTAATTCACCTCTGATCTCTCTTAGTGATTGTTTTCACCTATTTTCACCCCAGATATGATTTTTTTTTAAAGGAGACACAAATCCAGTTTTGACCCCTTTTCTACAGTACTGAATAAAGGCAAGTAATGCACTAATTTTTGCCTTCTGTTCAGTTTAATAATTAAAATGACCAACACAGTGTCTGGACATTGTCACTATGTAATTGTGTTGCGTAATTGTGAATTTTCTGATTTAAAACAAAAACATTGCCGCATTGATCAAGCTCGACCATTCAACCAAATGTTATTGTAAGTAAGTATCAAACTGTTTTTTTTTATTTGCATAAAATATTAATTATTTATCAACAACAACATTTGGTCACCAGTTAGGCCATAGACAGATTTTTTCCCCATGTGTTGTTATGATTATGACCACCACATGTGATCGTTGCTTTAACATGTTGCATCAATGGATTATGCATACATTATGTTAGCTAATGATCTGTATAGTCTTAGAACTGTACATTTCTGCCATATGAACATTACTTTGACACAGTCACCTCTGAGAACAGAATACTCTTAATTAAAAAGGCGGTATAATGCCCTTTTCACAAGATGTAAAATATATCTGATGTCCGCAGAGTGTGTATGTGACGTTTTAGCTCAAAATACCCCACAGATAATTTTATACAGCATGTTAAAGTTGTCACTTTTTGAGGGTGAGCAAAAACGCCTCGTTTTGTGTGTGTCCCTTTAAATGCAACTGAGCTGCATGCTGCCGACACAGTGGGCGCAGATTCAAGAGCTTGTGTCCTTTTACCTCACACAGACATGCACTGAAAATTTCAAAAACCTATGTTCAAACTGGAGTCAGACAATGATGAGAGACTCAAGAAGAAGTGACAACATGTAGAAAGCAACAGGACATTTCTAAATGGTTAGTTGATGAATTTATTTAGCTTATATGTAGTCATCTTCTAGTCATTCTGTCTTGATAATCTATTAAATTGTGTTCGAGGGGCAGGGTTTATGTAAATTTTAGGGTTAGTGATGTCACTAAACCAGGAGGAAGCTTGTGTAGTCCCTACCAGCCGTGTGTTGTAGTCCTTAAAAAACTTTTTTTTTTTTTTTAACTTTGAGCGTTGTAACTTTGCAGATGTTGTTTATGCTCAAACAGCAACATTACACACAAATTAAAGTTAGAAAAGTGAAATCAAAATCAACCACCCCTTTAATGATATATAGGCCTATATTGTGAATAGCACTATACAAATAAAATAATTGTGAAATTAAACCTGTTATCATTATTGCGGGGTGTTTTTATACTATATTTACTTTTTTAATGTCTGTTTATTGCTAGAAAAAAATATAAAAAGTCAGTTTTTTAAACTGTATTTTTAGACAGTCCCTAATGTTGGTTGCAAACCTCACATAAAATGAATAAAAAAAAAATTAAAAAAAATGTTCAAACAATATTTAGTTTGAAGTACCTCTGATTCAACACCGTTTTAAACGTGTATGATATACAGTAGTGGCTAAAAATAGTCTTTACGCTTTCTTGCATAGTAAAATAACACCTGTAGCTGCAGTTACAAGTTTAGTCTTTTGGTTTTTCTTCCCCCCTATTTAAAATTAAAAAAAAATCCTCATATTTTGATGGAATGGAACTTGCAGGGACATAAACAAAAATTCCCTCCGGACATTACTTTTGGCCTCTACTGTTTCAGTCCAGTAGTAAAGCACAGTCATCTTACACAGCAGTCTAGTGAACACAGCTACTGTACTACACACCCACTCACCCCGTTCACTCCTCCAATCTCGGCTTATCGGCAGGTGCCCACTGAAAGATGAATCAACCAATCATATCTGTGCATTTATGAGAAGTTTTAATGGTCAAAGGGCTTTATTTCAAATTCTTATTCAAACACTGTTTCATAAGTTTCACAACGCAGTGTTAACAGCCCTTTGGAGTCCACTCTAATTTTGATTAAATACTGTAGGTGTGCGAGTGTGTTTTAAATCTATGACTCTACTGTTCTGCAAAAAACAATCTTTCCTTTGCTGTCCCCTGCTGGAGAAACACATTTATGTTTACTCAATGTTTCACAAAGGTTGAATTTGTAATAGCATAACTAGTGTAGAGTAGTATGGTTTGTCAAATCAAACCTTTTATACAGTACAGGGTGCATGTATTGTTCAATCAGTGTTTGAAATTGCATAGTAAAAAAAATATTACAAAGTAATAAATACACAGATGCATGACAAAAGATGAATGTGATATTTGTGTGAGTAAAAGGATCTAATTTCTCTTGGGAACGGGTAAGACCAGCTTTCCACTGTGTGTGTGTGTGTGTGTTTTATGTGTAGATTTCTGATATCCTCAGGGCTGTTCATTTATGAATGCTTGGGATAGAGGAGAAATTTATGTTCTCCCTCCAATCCTCATGTTTCAACAGCAGTATTCATAAGAAACCCGCACTGACCCCGTATGAGACAATCAACAGTAGGATACTTTGTAATTCTCTTCACAGTAACATTTTCTAAAAGATTTTTGCGTGAATAAAGTAATTGTTCAAGTCATAATTATAATTCTGAATTAATGAGTCAACAGAGGTTATATGCACTGTTAGCAATTGATGTAATTTTTACAGGAAATTTTACAACAATGTATTGTATTTGCGTTTTACCTGTAAAAGGCAATGCACCATGGGAAATTAATGGACAGTCCTGTATTATTATTGTAATTTCACTGTATTCACGGAGTTTTACAATGGTTTTACAGCCACCGCGTTGCATCATGGGATCTTCGCGGTCTGAATTTTGAATTTTTAGGCGGTTAGTTCTAAACGTACATTCTGGGAGTAAAGGCCATTGCACACTGAGCACGAAATATTCGTATGCGTATTTTCGTGTTCGTCAGCTTAAAAATTCGTCACGCATAGAAACCTTGCACACCGAGTCCATTGCGTATTTCTTAAACCTTTGCGGGAAAAAACGCAAAAATACCAAATGGATTCGTCAAGCAGTGAGGATGATTTTTGCCCTCTCTCTTATTGAAAAGGGAAGAAAGAGAAAATATTACGTCCATCCAATCCTGAAATTGTGCAGAGAGGAAGGAGATTTATCAAGGAGTTGCGAATTTATCCTGAGCGATTCAAAATTTACCTCAGAATGTCAGTGGGACAGTTCGATGCTTTGCTAGCGATTCTGGAGCCACATATTAAAAACAAGACCACCAATTTCCGTGAACCAATCGATTCTGAACGGAGACTGGCAGTGTATCTGAAATGGACCAGGTATGGACACACACACACACGGACAAACACACACCCGCGCGCGGCCCGTTGGAA